TAGAAAACAACCTTTCTTTTTTTGGCAAGACAGCCAATACATGAGAAAACAAAGATGTTATGGGTTCCTTATCCCTGCTCAGAGAGGTTAAGTGATTTGACCAAGGTCACACAGCTAGCATATTAAATGAACATCCTGGGAAACATCTACTTAACTGCCAAAAGAGTGCTTCTGTTTCTTCCTGGTGACTAAAGGACCAGGGAAGATTGTGAGAAATAGGGGGCAAGGGTAGTGAATCCAAGCAGAGCTCTGAAGAATGAAACACCCAGGCCGGGAGGCAGGGAGGTTGGGGGGGGGGTGGCAGAGAATGGATCCATTTCCAAACACTAAGGTAGGCAAGCTGGAGAACCACCCAGAACCTATCTATTCCCTCTTATCTGTGGCAGCCCCTTGGAGGTTTACAATCAGAGACCCTTCCTGGGATTTCTCTTCTCCGTCCTGCCCTGACTAGCCCAGATCTTCTTCGCAGAGGGTATACACCAATCTCTCTCCTCCTCCATACTGGCTGCCCTCCTGTGGACACACCCAGTGAATTGAGGTTTTAGGTGTAGTTTGATTCACACAAATGATGAAAGAAATGTCACTTCCTTTTTTTAAAAAAAAAATCTTACTTTTATTCATGAGGACCAACATCAATTAGATATTAAGTAGTCACATTCCCATCCTCTCCAACTGAGTTCATTGCCTCCAAACACACCCAGTTCAAACACACCTCCCTCACTTTGGACACAGGCAGATGGTTCCATGGACTTGAGACTAGAAACTCATTTTTGTCCTCAGGATCAGCCCATTTTGACCTTGGCCATCCTTTAGTCTCACAGCTGCAGCAGAAGTGGTTAGTGAGACACCTTGAGTACCTCAATTTCACTTTATGAGATACCCAGTGTAGTCACATTCATAGATACAGAAAGTGAAATGGCAGTTCCCAGGGGCCAGGGATGGGGAGGGAGAATGGGCAGTTATTGTTTAATGGGGACAGAGTTTCAGCTTTTTGTGATGAAGAGTTCTGGAGTTGGATGGTGGTAAAGGAAGAACAACAATCTCGGTTCCTGAGGTTCAAGGCCACCAGGGGCTGGCCTCAAATCCCCATCTAAGTCCCATCTCCCTTGAACACACATCCACATCTAGTTCAAGATCTGCACAACCCTGCTGTTAGAACTTTTAGCAATGTCTCTTATACTTACTAATAATGCCTATTCCTCACCAACCACTCAGCCCTCAATGTCCAACGATTCAGCTCCTGCCACCTTCCTTCCCCTCCTCCCCCAAAACCTGTCCTTGCCATATCACCAGTGGCTTCCTATGGACACTTTTCATTCCTTCTCTCACAGCTGCTCAAGGCAGACTTTCGACACTGTTGTGCACATGCTCCCAACAAACCCTCCCTCCCTGGGGCTGAACTGTCTTGGTTCTTCTCCCACCTCCCTGAGCGCTCCTGTCCCTCTCACTCAGGGACTTTCCCAAGGTTCTGGCCTGGATCTGCTACTTTTGTCACTAGTCTACAGTCTTTTTGCTCAATCTCATCCCCTGTAATGATGATTAAAAACAACACCACCACCACCACTCAGGCCCAGGCATAGATCCATATATTCACCTGTCTTCACTGTATCTCCACCTATTCCAAATTGAACTCCTTCCTCTTCCTCACCTGTTCTTCCCTTCTGTTGTCTGACTCAACTGGTGGTGCAACCATCTACTCAGGCTCCCACACTATGATTCAGGGGCCTCCTGGACTCTTCCTCTCTCTTAAAATTCAACCAAGTCTTGCCATGTTCTCCTAAATCATTTCTCAAAGCACCCTCTCCACTCCATCCCTGCTGCCGCCCCAGCTCCTCTTTCTCTCTCAGCTCCATTCAAGTAACAGCCTCCTAACTGGTCTCCCTGTAGCCTAGCCCTCAGGTCCACCAGCCACAATGCCCCAGAGGGATCTTCTGGGAAGGCAAGCAGAACCAGGCTGCCCTCTGCTCCAGAAGAAAATCCAAGCTCCTAACCATGCCCTCCAAGTCTCTCCAGGATCTGGTGGTCTTCCTCTAATCCACTTTTCACTGAACTGTCAAAATGGTATCTCTACAAGGCCACAGTTGGCTTACATCGAACCTCCCCTCAATCTGCATTGAGCCCTGCTATCTCCCCTCCTCACTGCCTGAGCGCTCAGGCCCACAGGCCTCACACTGACTGTCACCTGGGTAACTCCTATTTCCCTGTGCCACGCAGCTCAGGGATGCCTCTCGGGAGAGGCTGCCAGCCCCGGGGGTGGGCTGCTCCCTGCCCTCCCTCACCCTCCCTGGCCCTCCCGGTCTCTCACCATTGCTTCTAGAACTTGCCTTTTTCCTGTATTTGCCACCCTTCAGTTTACTCAGGAGTGTCCCCCAGGAGCTGTGAGCTTCCTGAAATGCTGCTTTTTCCTTCCTACACCCCAGAGTCTAGCACGGGGTCTGGTACAGAGAGGTACGGAATGAATGTTGAGTAAGCGGCTGCATAACTGAACGAAGGGACTACCTGCCATCTGAGGAGCCTCCAGTTCCCAGCTGCTCCCAGCCGAGAGCTTGACACACTGTAGATGCTCAGTAAAGGTTGTGCATATTTTGTTTTCTGAATTAATCTGATTTAATGTCTGAAGTAGTTTGTGGTGTGATAGGGAGAAGGAAAGGGTCTGGATGCGGGAAACTTAACCAAAAGGGAAGCGTGGGGTGCACCACAGCAGGGGAAGGGGCAATAGGGGTGTCCGTAAAGGTGGGCAGGAACTAAGTCCGTAGTCTGCTGTCTCTCCGTGCGCCGAGGTCAGCGGAGTCCGGCCGGGCTAGATTGCCTCCAGCCCCTCCATCGCAGGAAATCTCCCCATCACCGGGATGGCGAGAACCCTGCTCGGCGGTCGCGCTCGGCACTGGGAGGCGTGTGTGTCGCTTTAAAAGCTCCCTCCCGACGCGCGGGGCCGGCCCTTCCCTACCGGCGCCGAGCGCGCGGAGCCGCGGAGCCGGGCGGCCTTGGAGGGAGCAGCGCCCGCCCGGGCGGCCAGTCCGGCGGGGATCGCGAGGAGGGCCGGGGGCGCCCAGGCGAGGGCGGCGCGGCGCTCGAGGAGCGGGCCCAGGCCTACGGAGCCCGGCCGGGCAGGTCAGGGCGAGGCCTCGGAGGGAGGCCCAGCCTGAGCTGTCGCCGGTGTGCCCGGTCGGCAGCGACCCGGCGCCCCGGGCCGCGGAGGCGGCGAGCCGGGAGGGGCGGGCGGGAGGCGGCGGCCTCGGAGCCGGGGCTGCGAGCCCTGTGCTCCCTGCCGGGCCGGGCCGCCGCGCACCCTCCCCTTCCACCCCTTATCTCGCCGCGCCTCCTCCTCTTGCTGGTGTCGCCTCCTCCCCCCGCGCCCCGCTCCGCTCCCGCCCGCCCCCGGGCCGCCGAACCCAGCCGGGCCGGGTCCCCGGCCTCGCGCGATCGTGGCCGGGCCCGGCGGACACCAGTCCCTCGGCCGACGCCGCCCCTCCCCCGGGGCCCGGTGGCTTCCGGACCTTTCCGACCGTGGACTGAGCAGTGGCAGCACTCTTGCCGCCGGCTGAGCACCGGGCTGGGAGGCGCGGACCCTCGCGGCCGCTCGGGACGCCTCGGTTGCGGGAGCGAGGACATCCTGGGTCCGGGCTGAGTGCGTCCCGGGCAGCGAGTGGTGCCGGCTCATTCCGAACAAGGCAGATCCTGCGGGCCCCGGCTCCGGCCGCTCTGGACTGGACCGAGCGAAGCCCGGACGGCGCCGAGCCCGGGGAATGCCGGGCGCGGGCTGAGGGGATCCCTCCGACTTTGGCTCACGCACTGGGACCGCCTCGGCGTCGCCTCAGACTCCTTAAGACAGGGTCACTTGTGGCCTGAGAGCCCCGGGCCCTCCAGACCCTGGCTCCTTCCCGACCCGCAGTCCGGCTGGGGTTGGGGGAGAATTTTCCTGCCCCCTTTCTGGGAGCGCGGAGGCCCCGCCCCCTCCCACCGCCCAGATGTCTCCCGGGGTGGCTCTGAGGACCTCCCTGAGGCCAGGGGCCGAAGGGTCCAGAGAGAGAAGCCCGCCCTAGGGAGCCTGGGGGGCCCCCCAACCTCATCTTGGGGCTTGGCCCCCGACGCTGATCGGAAGACAGGCCGGTACCCCCACCTTCGGTGAGTCGTGGAGCTGAGCGGGGGTTCTGAGGGAAGGAGAGGCTGGGAAAGGGAAGGCTTGCTGATGAGAGGACACCTTGGGGGCACTACGAGGGAGGACGGAAGACTGGAGAGACCCTCTGGTGAACCTGCGGGGCATGGCCAGGCTGGGGAGGGGGGTTTAGGGCGACCTGGAGTACGGTGCTCCATCTCAGGCTGAGGACTTCTGCGTCTAAAGCAGGGGCTCCCTCTTTTCCTTCTCAAAGAGGAGCTGTGCTGTAGACCATCTGCCTCCACCACCTCTTCCTACAAAGAAAAAAATTAATAAATCCCCAGCGAGGAAGGGTGCAGGATAAGGAAAGGAGGGAGGCAGCAGCATTGCCGGCTGGTGCTGCAGCCTGGGAGGGCTGATGCCAGGCTTACTCTCTCTGCAGGGGGCTGCCCTCCTCCAATCCAGCTCCCTTCCCAGGGCTGTCCACATCTGGAGCCCCCTGCACATCTGGAAGACCCCAGCCACCACCCTGCAGGTGTCAATTGCATCCAGAGATCTCTGCCTTTGCAACTGCCCAAGAGTTGTGAGGGGATTGCCCCTACGTTCCCCTGTCCCAAGGGCATCTCTTACCCTTAGTCCCTGCAGAGTCACCCCCTGCCTCTGTGTCCTGGCTCAGCCAGAAATCAGCCCAGCACACCTATAGGCAAATCGAGTCCTGGAGGCCACGCCTGTGATCCAAAGCCCCTCCCCCTGCCCTCCTGTGTCCTCACCTTGACCCCCTCTGTCAGATCTGTCTCCCTCTGGGTGTCCCATTCCCCATCCAGAGGCAGGGGAGGCGGGGTGGCAGGGGTCAGGGGCTGGGTGAGGACCACCCAGGGCCAGGGTGGGCTGGGGGGCCGTTAAGATGTGGAGCTCTGCCTGGCTGAGGGGGGCTCTGTGGAGGCAGACACAGTGTGTGCCTGGCTGGGGGGAGTATGGGCAGGCCTGCTGCCACGTGGTGAAGGATGAACATTCGGGGCACCCTGGACCTCGGGCAGCCCAGTGACGACCCCAGCAGTGGTGGCGAGCGTGAGCGGATTCGACAGCGTATGAAGATGGTCATCGGGCAGCTCGAGGGCATTCTGCGGGAGCTCAAAGAGGTGGCCAAGGAGCTCAGGGAGGTGAGTAAGGGGCCAGACGGACCCTAGACCAGTTTTCCCGGGCCTGGCACAAAAACATACTCTCACATGTATGTTTCTGTGTGTATGTGTGCAAAGCTGTGTGCACAGGTGCCACTCTGCTGGGTACCTCCTTCTCCTTGTTCTCCTTTCCCCAAATCTGCTCTGCTAAAAATCTCACGATAGCCCAGGGCCAGAGGATTCTCAGTGTTGCAGAGACTGCTTGGGCAGCATGTCATAGGCCCAAGGCTCTGTGGTTAGCGCTCAGGGCTGCTGAGGCGGCCAGTAAGGACTGAGTCCCACCATAGCCTCTTCGTGGGATACACTCTTCTGGAGCCCAGGCTGATCTTTGACCCCCACCATCTGCCTCTCAGGCTCTGAGCTGGTCCCAGGGGGCCCTGGGAGAGTGGATGGCTCTAATGAGGCCATCCCCACTGCTCGGGGCCCAGATCAGAGCATTCCCCAGATATTACACAGATACTCAGAACCCATGATCCTGGAAAAACTACAGCCAGCTAGGCCCTCCCTGCCCTGAGGTGGAAATGAGTCTAGGCGGCTGCTAGTGGGTTATCAGAATTTCTGTGCACATTGGCAGGGGCAGGAATCTCCTCTAAAGGGATGCATGCCTATCCCACAGTTCTGATTGCCTTTTTCCAAGGCTGAAAAGTCACCTAGAGACCTTAGGATGTGTGTCCCTCTCTGTCTCTCTAAGTGAAGCCGGGTTTAATTACCGCTTCCCACATTGCTGGAGTAATGAGGTACACACGTCCTCGGCCCTGCCCGCTGGGCTGTGTTCGAGCCCAAAATGCATGACCAGCGTTCTGAGCCACTGACCTGAATTTGCCCACTGGGTGCCATTACACCAGCCAGGTGGGCTTTAGGCAAATTTCAACTCCTTGTAACTAGGGCCCCTGCAGAGATGGCAGGGAGAGTGATTGAATTGGAGTTATGAGCTTGGGCTCTTCCAGCCAGCTGTGCTGGGAGGATAGGGGCTGGGAAGATTGAGGAGAGGGGGTGATGGTGGGTACCAACTCCAGACTGGCAAAGTGGCCTCTAGGCTGGCCCAAGAGCCAAGGAGCAGGGGTTGTTTGAAGGGAGTTTTGTCCAGAGTGGAGAGGCAGGACAGGAACAGAGGTTGGGCAGGATGCCCCTCTACCCAGAGTCAGCACCATGGAGCCTGCCAGGAAGTCCTTACTCAAGAGGCAGGAATGGCTCTTGCTGCCGGTAGAGAGAGGTGGTGGTGGTGCTTCTGCCCATGAACTGGGCTGGCCAGAGTCTGGGCTGAACATCTCTGGGGAATACAATTTGGTGGTCAATGCCCCTGAACAACCCCGCCTCCTCCAATCTCATTGGTCCAAAGGACTACCATCCCCTCTTCGACCCTCCCCGACCCCCATCTATTTCAGATGTTTTGTGGGTCCATCAGAGTCATGGTAACTGTCCAGAGTCTCAGTCTTGAGCAGGGGCATGGGACCTATGCCCCAGCAGCCCACCCAGAAAGAACCAGGATTGACTTTAAGACTGAGAGTCAGCTTTGATATAGCACAGAGCCTATTGCCAATGGACCAGCTGAGCATATTGCAGGAATTTGCTCTCATCCTCATCCACCCCCTGAGCATCCAGACTAGCCCTGTCCATTTACTGTTGAAGAAACTGAGGCCCAGAGAGGGATAGGGGCTTGCCGAAGTCACAGAGACTACCAGTGGCACTCAGTAAAAACTCGGGTTCTTATGCCTACCTACTCTGGGGTTCAGAAGGTGGGCTAATGGGCATTCTCTTTCCATTTTGTTAGGAACCTTCTACAGGTGATACCTTATGCTCATGCTGTGAGAAGGTGCCCTTTCAGGGGTGAGACAGGAAGATCAGAAGCACTGGGGTTTATTTGCAGTCTTTGAGATGCCCCCTCCCTCCCTTCTCAGCACACACACACTTGCCCACTCCCATGTCCTGAACAGCAGAGCTTCAGGTTCATGGGCTGTGAAGCCCAGACACCTGAGCCAGAACAGAGAAAGATGAGTCCCCTCCCCTCACACCCCTTCTAGACCTTGTGCCTCCACCCAAGACTTTGGTGGGTTGTTATGGCAACCAGAATCGACCCCGCATGCCACCACCTGCCCGCTGCCAATGGCACCCAGCTGGGAGGGGAGCAGGCCTCAGAGCTCCCCCATCCCTCAGGCAGGGTCTGGACATGGGGTCTGGGATGGGCAGAGGGGAGTGTTAGGGAAGGCAGGTGAGGCTCCGGAAGGCCCAGACAGAAGAGGAGATGCCATTCCTGAGAGGTGGGATTTGTCAGGAATGGGGTTACCACTTAGGGATGCCAGGCCTGGTTTGGGATAAAGGTTGGAGCCCCCCTTCTCCCACACACTTGGAACCTGTGATCTTGGCTCTTGGTCCTCCAAGGGGGCTGCAAACCTGGATCTGCCTGGCTCTTCTTAGTCGCTTTGTGTGACATTTTTCAGTGGGGAGCTAGAGCCGGCCCAAGGTTGAGAGGTTTCTTTTTTCATACCCCACTCTCCAGGCAGCACCAGCTCAGCGTTCAAAAGCTGGGTTCTGGTCTCAGGAGGGCAAAGCACTTAGACCTGAAGCCAAGATTCACATCCAAGACTACCTGGGAGCAGCACAGGGTGCTTGACAAAGGAGCAAGGCCAGCAGAGAGGGAGGGCTTAGCCGTATCCCCTCTGCTGTCCTCCTTCTCCATCTGCTGCTCCCTTCTCCAGACACCACAGATCATGGCGGAGCCTCCTCGTCCTCTTGAGCATACAGCCTGGAATTCATAGAAAGATGAAGAGCACTAAAGCACTGTCCCCTGGTCCCCGAGCCTCAGTCTACTCATCTCTGAAATTGGGATGATGATAGTTCACACCTCAGAGTGATCTTACAAGGATTTATTGGGGGATTGGGTGCAGTAGGTGGGGGCCAGCAACTACTCACACCTCCAAAGGATTTGAAGTTCCTTCTCCCATATCTCCTCTGTTCTCCCAAACCCCTGCTGCAGCTCTACCTCTGTTTCCCCAGGGAGACAGTGGGCAAGTTCTGTCCCGTGGGTGGGGAAAACAGTTTTATGGACTAAGTGAGGCGAGGAATGTAAAAGTGTCTTGAAAGCAAAAATTTGTGCTGCAAAGGGGTGTGATGGTCAATCATTAATTAGACCTCATCTCTCCTGGGTTCCCCAGTACTCCAGAGTGCCAGGCCAGTCCCAGCAGGCTCTCTAAGCTCAGAATTCTGTGTATCTTACTTTAGAGAAGCAGCACAACCTAGGGACTAAGAGTATGGGCTCCACAGCCGATGTCTCTGGTTCAAATCCTACCTCCACCCTCTTCCGAGCTGTGAGAATTTAGGAAAGTTACTTTACCTCACTGTGCTTCTGTTTTGTATCTTTAAAATGAGCATACACAATTTTTTGCCTCTCTCTGCCACCAGACCTCAGGTGGCTGTGAGAATTAAATGTGATACTATATATGATGTACTTAGCACAGTGATGGGCACAAGACTAGCTTCATATCTGTTAGATATTATTGATGAAATATCCTAACACTGGCCTACTCCTCAGCTCCATCTCAGACCTTGTTCTTTCGGAGTCTCATTGGCTTCTTAGCCATGATCAGGAAGGACCAAGCCAGGGCCCTTCGTCAGTCAATTCCACCTTCTTCTGGTGGGGACAGAAGATAGTGATGGGGATGGGAAGCAGGCCTCCAATAACATGACTTTTGAATGGAGACCCAGAGGAAGTGAGGGTACAAGTCAGTTGGATATATGGGGATGAGTCTCCAATTAGTGGGAGCAGCCACTGCAAAGGTCCTGAGAAGGAAGTGTGCTCGGCATGGTCACGATCAGCAAGGAAGCTGGTGCAGTCAGAGTGGAGTGAACTAGGAGGAGGAGAGCAGGAGGCAAGGGCAAACAGAGCATGTTGGACACAATGCAGAATTTGGATTTTGTCCTCAGTGAGAATCCCACATGCTCTCTAGGAGTCTCCATGTTGTGTTTCTGGGTAGGAATCTGCCTCCCCACTGCTCTCCCTGCTCCCTGCCGATTGGGAGCCCCCAAGGGCAAAGGTAAAAGCCCTTGTCCTTGGCCCCCAGATACTGAGCTTACCTTGAGTAGCTACTTGGCCTCCTCCTCCTTGGTTCCCTCATCCCCAAGATGTCGCTCAGCATGGGGGCTCAGAATGTTCCTGTGTTGACCATCATCGCTAGCTGTTGGGTAGGATGTAACTTAAGGACACAGTTGCCCGGCTGGCATGAACACCTCAGGAGAATGGAGGGATGGACAAAACCCTTTTGCAGCCTGAGGTAAGAGCAAAGCTCCCCACGTGATTTTCTTGGGGATCAGGCACATGGCAGTTGTGCCATCCTGTTGGCCAGGTGCTGTCTGGAAGGTGGCCAGGAAAGCCATGGGCCCTACAGCATGAGGTAAATGTGGCCCAGCCAGGAAGCAGCTGGAGCAGGAGAGGCTGGGGACCACAGAGCTGTGCCAAAGTGGGTCAGCTCCATCACCCGCAGCTCAGCAAGAATTGTGCGAATTTTTTCTTTTTTTTTTTTTTTTTTTTGCCTCCCTTTTCCCTTTGTGTCCTCTTCCTCTGGAGAGATTCATGAAGCTCTGCAGCCAATTAGGCCAAATTGCAGTATGCGAGTTATGAATCAGTCAACTCACTGCCCCCTCCCCAATGCCACAGCCCCCAAGAAGACAATAAATAACGTAATCACAGAATTAAAAAATAATCAGTGGTCATAAATAATGCAGCATCCTCAGTTATGTAACCATCTGCCCGGAGAGCCGGGAGGAAGAAAGGAGGTAGCAACTTGTCAAGAGAAGTGAGGGGGGCAGAGGTGAGGGGGGAAAACAGGAGGAGATCGAGGCTGTGGGAGCCCACAGGCCTCTGTCCTGACTCCAGGGTTTTATGGGACACAGCCATGTTTTTCTTGGAGAGGCAGCTCAGCCAGAGCTGGAGAAAGGGCTGGGACAAAATATTGGGGTGCCTAGGGCCATGGAACATTTTCTCAGAAAAGAACCCTCCAGCAGTTTTTGTTAAGCTCTCTCAACTCATCCACTCACTCAATGGCTATATTATAAAGAATGTACCAATCGCTGTATCAAACTGGGGATGCAATGTTGGGCAAGTCATTTTCTGGCCCACTCCTTGTAGGGAGAAGACATCAACCGCATTATAACCTACATTCTCATGACATTGTAGCAGTGATAAATACTGGATAATATTTTAAGGAAAGGTACAGGGTGCTTTGAGAGCCTTTCACAGGAGACCTGTCTTTGGGGATTAGGGAAGACTTCCTTGTGGCACTGAGATGGAGTGAGTAGGAAAGGAGCAAGACATTTGGGTGATGTGTAGAGGCGGCAGTGAGCTCAGAGGGGGTGTGTGCAAGGGTGGTGAGGAGGTAGGCCTGGGAGGGCGGAGAGCAAAGCGCCCCTGCCAGATTTGGTGAGAGGTAGTGTTTGGAGGCTCAAGAGTTTGGAGAGCACGAAACTGCTGGAAGCAGAGGAGTGCCAAGGTCCTGTGGGCTGATTAGGAAGTTCCCTGGACGCAGGGCGCAGCAGGAGCAGGACAGGGAGCTGCTGCCCGCAGGGAGCCTAGGTGAGTTTGGATGCAGCTGTTCAGGTGAGGGGAGCTGAGGTTGTGACCAGGACAGAGATTGGGGATCGCCTTGGGTCAGGGCCTGGGACCCCTAGAAGATTCTGTCTCAGCCCTCACCTGTCCTTCCTCTCTAGTGTTCCCTCCTGTCCCCTATAGATCAGGCAATTCATGTTATTAAGGGACCAGGCCCAGGAGTCAGGACTCCTGACTTCTGGTCTCAGCTTAGCCCCGTCCAGCCTCTGGGCCTCAGTTTCTCTCTCAGCAAGCACAGTAAGAAGGATGGACTCAACAGTGCCCATTTCGGTCTCTGAGGTTTTGGGATTCTGTGTTTTTTATGGTTTATTTCTCTCTCCATTCTTCGTCTCTTGCTCTCTCTTTTTTTTTTCCTGTGTATATAATTATTTTCCCTGTGCTCCAAGACAATCTCAAATTACATGTAGACAAAATGATTATTAAATCTCAGAGAGAAATCACAGATTTCAAGATATTTAAAGCAGAGAGGCAGGCGGCATGGGGCCTCGCACCCTTGCCCTCCCACTGGCCCCCTGAAATGAGGCACCAGGGAGAGGCAGCAGGGTTATGGGCTGACCAGGCTCTGCATACAATCTGGGTACCCCTGGCACCTCACTTCCCTTTCTGATCCTCACTATGTCATTTATCAAGTGAGTTTGACCTGTCCCACCTAATGAACTGGGTCAGGTTTGCCTCTGGGCCTCAACCATTCGGCTTTTAGAAACTTCTGCGTCTGTTGCATCTGAAAATAGCATTACTTTAGGAAACATAGGTGCCGGGGTTTGAAAGGCCCAACATGCCCCATTATTCTGCCACAGGCACTGGAAGCGCCTCCATCAGAGTGTTATTCCTTTGATGAAGAACTGACTTCCATCAGTTACGTGTTACGCGTTACGTGTAACTAACACGTAGCTGTTACTTCCGTGTTAGTGCCCAGTGGTGTATGGTGGATATTGTCCTACGTGTTTTCTGTGCATCAAGTCCTTAAATCCTCACAACAGCCTAACGAGTAGGTACCATTAGAATTCTCCTTTGCTGCAGAAAGTTACACACAGAGACAATGAGTAACTTGGTTAGGGTCTTGAAGCCGGTAAGCTGTGGGCCAGGGTTGAGCCACAGCTGTGGCCCCAGAGCCCAGGTTCTCAGGTGCTTGTGTGTGCTGACTGCAGTCTAATGCACAGTCGTGTAGCTATTAAATCCCCATCACCTGGGTGAGGAGAAGAGCATCATCCTACTTTACAGGGGAGGAAAATGAGACTGGAGAGGGGAAAGCCAGGTGTAGGACTTGAATCCAGGCCTCGCTTTTTCTCCTCCCTCCACACCCCCAGGGGAAGGGCCTGAATGTGAAATCCTCCCAAGGAGATGGGGGGCAAGGGCCTTTTGGACAGGGGAAGTGTGTTCAGGCCCAAAGTCTTCAGGGATCCTGCCCTGTGCACCTTGGATCTTCCTCACAGGGTATTAGGAGCCCAGCTTCTTGGCCTGGCCTGGCCTTAGCCAACTTTGCACCATCCATCACAGCCAAGTAATTTTACTCCAGGTTCCTACTAGAGTTACCTCCTTTTAGGCAGCAGCAGACTCTCAGCAGCTAGCCTGGTCCGGAGAGTCTGTTTGGAGGGTATGGCTGCCCAGAGGTGTAAGTCCACTCCTGAGGCCAGCAATGCCCTGAGGTGCGATTTGTTCATCAGCTTAATCCCAGGCCCTTAGGTCAGTGGTTCTCAGTTTTTCCCCAGACTAACAGGAGCAGCACAGGGAAGCCTGTTAGACCTGCACCTTCTCAAACCTTACCCAGAACTTACTGAATCAGAAACTCTGGGGAGTGGGCTAATGCACACTCCAGTTTGAGAGTCCCTATTCTAGGCCAGGGTCCCCACCAGTCCTCAGGTGGGGCCTGGGTTGAACAAGAGCTTCTGGGTCATGCAATCTTTTCTGTGATGGGGGAGTCATTGGAATGGGAGACATAAGAAGGGATGGCCAGACTGGAGGGTGGGGCCCTATGCCCATTGCCTGCCCAATCCCAGAAATCACAGCAGCACTCAGAGCAGTGTGCCGTCTTACAGGGCATGGCGCAGGCAGGAATCTCAGCTTCCCCAATGACTGGTGCCTCGGGCCCATTATCTATGACCTCAGGAAATGATGATTTCATGGGGGGAATCTGACACACAGTAGGTGCTCAGAGATGGGAAATGATGTCACTTTCATCACCAATACCCCACAGAACACTGACTGCCCTTAGCATTGTACCTCATGAAACTGTAGTGAAGTTGGTAGGGCTGAGGTTATCAGGCCTACTAGGTGATGAAGGAAGTTGAGGTCCAGAGAAGTTATGCGACTTACCCAAAGACACACGAAGCTGTGTCTGAGTCTGGAACCCAAGTGTCTTGACTCCTCCAGCTCTTTTGCAGGCTTCAGGCAAGTGTCTGTCCACTCTTGACCGGAGGCCATGGGGAATGGGCATCCCTAGGCATCAACACCCCAAAAACAGCTTCTCCAGTCACTCCTAGAATCTCAGAGATTGAAAGAGCCTTGGGGATCAACCAGTTCAGCCAGCTCCCTGTTTACAGATTGAAAAATGGAGACCTAAGTGGGAAATTGTCTAGGCCACCTGCATGGGCATGGGACCCCCTGACCCCTGACCAAGCAGACATCCCACTGACCCAGATGCTTCCTGACCCCTCAGTTTTGTCTTTACTTTCCGCTTTCACTTTGGAGCACTCCCTACCAAACACATAGCATATCCCTAGAAAGCAGTAGTCCTCAGTAAAGATTTGTTGGTTACGGACTTCACTGGGTAATTAATTGACTGATCTGACTCCAGGTAGGAGTACTGGAGAGTCACTGGGAGCTGGCCCTGGGCCTGGTTACTCTTTTCACATGGCTTTGTCCATGGGTCTCTTGGTTCCTCTGTTTTGTTTTTGATGTTTTGCTCTTTTTGTTGTTGGCCTAAAGCCTCTCTCCTCCTCTTGTCTGTCCCCTCCCTATGTCTGTGATTGGGTCTTTTAACCCTCACCATCTTTACCCCTGATTCATGTGCTGACAGTTGCCTAGGCCAGGGGATGTCCTGAGGCAGGGCTGCCTGCATGGAGTCAGAGCTTCAGTCTTTGTCGGGTGGGCGGGTTGCAGTGACCTCCCAACTGAACTACGCACCCCCTTGCCCCCCTGCTCCCCACCGCCCCCCGCCAAATGCATTGAACAGGCAGCTCTCAGCCCAGGCTGGATGGTTTCCTTTTATTGCTTACCAAATAATGCTTGTTTTATTCCTTCTCCAACAAAGCAGGGCTGATCTCCAGTCATCAGAGGCCAGGGAAAGGAAGGAGGGAGAACGCTCCAGGGTGCATGGGGGTAGGGTGGTGGAGACCTCAGAGAGACATTCGCTGACCAACTGCACAGGTTGGTCCAGGGTGTTTCCTCATGGCCACCCCATGTCATTTTTCTCTCTGTCACCACTCCACTGAGTGGACTTGCTGGAGTCTCTCAGCCTTCTTTAAATGGCCCCTTATCAGTCAAAGGAAGGTCAGTCTCTGAGCACCAGGGATGCCCCCAGAACAGCAGCTGGCTATGGGAGCAAGGGGTGTGTGAACGGATAGAGCGCAGGGCTGGAAGGCAGCCTCCCCTCCACCCAACAGACTGAGGAGTGGAAAACGGGAATGGCTGGAACAAGCTCTGTTCACCTTGGTCTACTTTGGGCCCTCCACAGGGCAAACAAGTCTGTAACCTCAAGTCTAGTCACAATCCTGTAGGGTCATCAGCTGGGAGATGTGGGTGGGGGGATATGCTCACACCTAAGTGATGCCAGGTGGTGCCTGGCTCCTCTCACATCTCTGCCCTTCCCTGGCCAGGTGGTGAGCCAGATAGATAAGCTAACCTCAGACTTCGACTTTGAACTGGAGCCGGATGACTGGACCACAGCCACTGTGAGCAGCACGTCCAGCAGCGACAAGGCCGGAGTGGGCGGCCCCTTTGACCTGGGTCACCTGGACTTCATGACAGCCGACATCCTCTCAGACAGCTGGGAGTTCTGCTCCTTCCTGGATGTCTCTACCCCCTCAGACTCTGTGGACGGCCCCGAGCCGACCCGTCCGGGGGCTGGCCCTGACTACCGACTCATGAACGGTGGCACGCCCATCCCTAATGGGCCTCGGGTGGAGACCCCAGACTCTTCCAGTGAGGAGGCCTTCAGCACCGGCCCTGTTAAGGGCCAGCAGCCCCAGCGGACCCCAGGCACACGGGAGAGAGTGCGGTTCAGTGACAAAGTGCTCTACCATGCTTTGTGCTGTGATGATGAGGAGGAGGACGGCGAGGAGGTGGCAGCAGAGGAAGAGGTGGGCCTGTCCCCAGAGCCTCCTCGCACAGAGGCCCATGTGGGCCCTCTCAAGACCTCCCTGGCCCCCAACAAGCCGAGGCGCTCTCTACTTACTGGCCGATGCTCAGGCACCACCTTGGCCCCTGAGCAGACCCGAAGGGTCACAAGGAACAGCAGCACTCAAACAGTGTCAGACAAGAGCACGCAGACAGTGCTCCCCTACACGGCCACCAGGCAGAAAGCCAAGGGGAAAAACTAAGGGCCAGGGAGGGAACAGGGGGGTGGTGGATACATAGAGTTATAAATATATATATATATATTTAAACAAATGCAGTCATAATAAAATTTTAAAATGCTGAGGATCCAGCCCCACAGGCCCCAAAGCTTTCTCAGAGCTCATCTCAGGCACAGAGATGCCTACTTGCCTCCTAGGTCCCAGGAAGTGTGTCCAGAACTGCCCGCCCTCCCTTCTCATTACAGGGCTCCTGAAGGGGTGTCCAAACTTACGTAAATTAGGTGGGATAGGCCTAACCTGGGGCTCCTCTGGAGTCTGGCTGCTGGCCTGGGCCACACCCTGGCAAGATGAATCCACAGGAGTCAGGCTGTGAAGGAGCAGTGTCCAAGGCCAGGGCCAACAGTGATGTGGAGGAGCTGGTAGGACTGAGGGCCTGGGGTGGCAGCACTCCAGCTGGGCCAAGGATCACTTGCCTTCTACTCCAAGACAGCCTTTGCCTCTCATTCCGAAAGGTAAACTCGCCTAGATACATACAACTGAACCCCCACCCCCCCTCTCAGGGTTGCTCAGGACACAGAGAAGAAGGAAGCTGCTCCCACAGGCTGGGCCTGCATGCTGGGGAGCCAGGCTTGCACAGGCCCTGGAGGGTCAGACTGCTGGACAGGGGTTTAGAGAACCTGGACTGCTCCCAAACCTTTCTGTTCCATGCTCAGCCTTGTCCACAAGGGATCGGAGACTCACAGCAGAGCCTTAGCCAGCCCCTGGCTCAGCCCTGAGCGCAGCTGAGATCCATGTGAGGAAGGAGGCAGCAGCCACCGTGGGCCAGAGGCAGGCCCTTGACCCCGTCAGCAGGCAGGGAGCCCCCAGAGGAGTCCAATGGCCCTGCTCCTATACACTGGGACCCTGAGTCCACCTTGGCAGGTCATGAATGACACCAACAGAGACAAGGTAGGAGCCTAGCAATACCAGGGCTTCTCCTGGAGCATGGTCCTTATAGATACAGCATCTGACTTTCTAGGGCTAATGATCCAAACTGTTGTTCATATTTATTAAGCAGATCTCTATGTTGCTACTGCCAAATACATTTCATAGCATAATCTCATTTAATCTTCACAATAACCTGACAAGACAGGAACTATAGCTATCCTCATTTTTCAAATGAGAAGACTCAGGTTCACAGAGGTTAAGTAACTGGCCCAAAGTCATAGAGCTTGTGCCACCCTGCCCTCCATGAGCTTATGGTTTCCAGGCTATACTTGGCTCTGCTATCTAGTAGCTGTGTGACGTTAGGCAAGTCCATTTGCCTCTCTGAGCCTATCTACCTCATCTATGAAGTGGATCTGATAGTGTTCACCTACCTCACCAGCTCCTGTGGGGCTTTGACAAAATGGGGACTACGAAACTACTTGGTAAATGCCTAGGCACTGAACATGTGTTGTGGTCAGTGGGACCCCAACTCAGATTCCAGTGTTTTTCCAGGGCTAGGAGCCCTGAGTGGGGCGGGAAAGAAGCCACCGCCACCAACTGGGAGCTGCTTCTGGGCCACAGCATGATGGCCCCCGACTTGCTTGGAGTGGGGAGGCGGTGGTGATGGCAGCGCAGGGATGCCACTGCTCAGAGCCTCCCCACCGCACACTCAATGAAGGCAGGGGCGCAGCTGGCCAGGGGCGGTCAGGAGGGATCTCTGCTCCTCATGCGGGCGCCCAGGAGAGCCTGGCGAAAGAGACACTGTGCAGCCCCCTGGGGCGGGGAGTAAGAGACTGTGCTGGCCAGTCTGGAGCAGATGCCAGGGATGCTGTCAGGATAAGACAGGCCAGGCCTAGGCAGCCTGCTCTTCAGTGTTGGGGTCTCCCCTCGGCCCTAAAGAGCCAGCTGGGTGCAGCCTCCAGGAAATCCAGCGTAGGGGGTTGTGGCTAGCTACTCCTGCCCAGGCCTGAGAGCAAGAGGTCTGAGCTCCTCCATCAGCCCCAGGACACCCTTGGGCAGTGGTGTTAAGTAGTGATAGGACCCTGGCTCAGAGGATAAATGCCAGGGGCTCCCCTGAGGGATGGCCGGCTGGGTCCTGCCCTGCCTGACCGTGAGGAAGTGATAATAAGTCTGGGTGCACCTGGCTTTGGGACTTGTCTTTGCTCTCCAATGGCAAGATTGTTTGTAGAGTTACAACCTCTCAGTTTTACAACAGGCAAGGAAAAAACATCTGGAGAGAGCTTCATTTCACGAGGAAGACACTGAGGGAGCCCCCCAGGAAGGGCATTGTCTTCTCCGGGGAGACCCCACCCCATTCTGCTCTGCGAAATTGCATGTGGCCATGGCTAACATACGCCACCTGGCTACTTGCTCCCCAAAATGGGCAGCAGTGAGAGAGTACCCTGAAGGAGGGGGAAGTGGGTATTGAAGTGGGTATAGGTCCTCAAAGGCCCCAAAAGTACTCAGCTGCCCTTGTATTTGTGCCACACCCAGTCTGGGCCTCGCTGGCTGAAACAGATCCCTGTGGCCTTCTTATGACTTGCAAGGCAGAGTATGGCCACCTATGCAAAAACTGTGACTGTCAGAGCTGTTGACCATGAAACACACTGCTTCAGAGTAGTGAGCTCCCTGTCCCTGAGGCAGACACAGCCATCCCCCAACTTCCTCCAGAACTGCCTGTTCCGCAGGTACAGTCTCTCACTGCTCTTCCCCACCTCCAAAACCCTGCCAAGTTCTGGGTTTCCTCACCCAGAATGTCCCATCAAATTCCCTGTTTCCAGAAAGTCTTATTTTACTGACCACTTACTGTGAGCTCAGGCTTGTGACAGCCTGTGCCACGGAGGAGGCAGAGGGTGCTGTGTCAGAGAGGAGTCATAATCATAAGAGCTCACGTTCACTGAGCATATACTATGCACTGGGCATGTCCTAAGTATATGTCTTATTGCAATTATTCCTCACAGCAAATATGAATGAGATAAGCAATTATATGTATACCTGTTTTCCAGATGAGGAAACTGAGGCTCCGAGAAGTTAATAACTTGCCTAAGGGCAGAGGATAAGTATAACACCAGGATTTGACCCCAAACTCAGTGACTTGGTACTCAAACATATGCTGTAGTCATAATCATGGTGGACCAGTGCCCTGGTCTCTGGGAATAAGGGAGGGGCTGGGATCTGAGCGCCAGACGTGCCTTTGGTGGGGAGTGGGTCCTGGGAGCAGAAAACCTGTGAATGCCATTCAGTCTTTGGAGAGCTTGGCTACTATTAGTAATGGCCCTTGACACAGAGCCCAGCACCAAATGGATTATGTATTCAATAAATGTTTGTTGAATGAATGAACGAGCCCCATTTGCAGAGGGAGCATTCATTCAATCAGCTTTTATTGTAGACTTCCTGCATGCCAGGTCTCATGTTGCTTGTGCACACACACACAGCTCCCCTGGGAGCGTCTGGTCTGGTGTGGCCCAAGAGGTGGGCAAAGTCAAAAGGAAAGGGTGTCCAGTTCCAGTGAGGAGCCAGAGGTAGTGGTGGGTCCAGCCTGTGGTCCCTGGGAAAGAAGCCAGGAACATGAGCCAGGGAGCCGGCTTGGGGAGGAGACCACTCTGGGATGTCAGGGGAACAAGGATGGGTCCTCAGTCTGATACCACTTTAGTAGTGTGGGCACATTGCAGCGTCTCCAGTGTCTGAGAATGAGGAGACATCATTGTCTCCATTTTACAGGCAAGGGACAGACCATTTAATCCATAGAAGTCTGAAGTGACCAAGGATCAGAAAGGGGGGCAAATTATTCCAAGACCCTAGCACCATCCCCTACCCTTAGAGACAAAGTGGGGCCTTATCAGTGGAAGGGAAAAGGGCCAGGGGAATTTAAGGCAGGCCCAGACCTCCTCTGCTACCCCTCCTAAGTTCCCTTTCTCTGTTCCTCACCCATCCTCCCCACACACCCCCCCCCATCTAACTCCCATTCTCCCGGTGGAACTTGTGTAAGAAAACTGGCATTTATTGACCAACTATTATATGCCAGGCACTGAGCCATGTCTTTTAACCAATGCTAAAGGACAGATTTAGTTGTGCCCAGCACATAACAGGTTGCTAAGTAATTATCTATTAAATAAATGGGTGGCCACATCTTCATTTTACAGGTGAGGAAGCTGATGAACCAAGGAATTTGTTCAAAGTCGCACAGGCAGGAATCGGTGGAGCTGGAGACTTGGGTTCGCTGTTATTTATTATTTAACTACATAAGAGCTGCTATTTCTGGAATGTCTACAGTTTGATGCATTAGGCACTTTACATAAATTATCTTACCTAAATTACAACAGTCCTCCAAATAACTGAGATTATTACCGTTTTACACATGAGAAAATGGAGACTCAGCAAGGTAGAGTATCCTACCCAAAATAACCAGCACCGGTGAAGAGACAGGACCTGACTCTAAACTTCACCCTGCTTACCACATTCCTAGCTTCAGGAGACCTAGAACCCCTGCAAGCAGAGACATTGCCAGAGCCCAGATTTACCCTTGGCACAACCGAGCAGTGCTCACCAGGGGTCAGGCCCTACTTTCCTCAAGTCAGTGCTAATGCTTTTCTGGCAGCATTAGCCCCGGGTCCGAGAACCCACCCCTGGTTCCCCATGGGCCTGGGCACTGACTAGGCAACCAGCCTAAACAGCTCCAAGTCCAGTGTCATTTCCCCTTCTCATATCTGTGGCAGAACCTGGAAGATTATGCTGCCCTCATCCCATTTCTGGTGTGGACTAACCTGGCTTTAGTTTGGGGCCGGAGTATCTAGGAAAGGCTTCTGGGAGGAGGAGGGAACTGAAATGGAATTTATTTGTGATGGAGTAGAAACTTGGATGCCTGGAAGTGAGAGCTAAGGGCATCTGGCCAAAAATGGCTAGGATGGCCACACAAGGACTAGAGGGAGGCCTTGCTAAAGCAGAAAGTATGAGACGGGAAATATGTGAGTGCTGCATAAGGGGCTGAGAGTCCCATGGCACTCCCAGAGCCACTCCATCCTCTTCACTGTGGGAGAAGGAATGGGGACGGGGGCAGGATTCCTGTCTAGACTGAGCCTGAGAGAATAGATTTAAGAGAGCTCAGTAAATAGGGACCCACTGTAATGAATAGATAAGAACAGCACAAAGTAACACATTGGTAAGTAAAATAGATATGCTGAAGCCCTTGAAACTCATTATATCTTACAAGCAGGTCAGACATTCCTCCT